CAAGCCCACAAAACACCACTCATGTGTTGCTTGTTATTTTTGCTTGACTGGGATTTGCTGAGCCATAATCAAAGTATTTCCTAGTCCCACATGCCCTGGTCTCAGAGGGGATGGTTAATACTGCTTACAAATAATGGTGTTCTCGCCTGCTCTTTATGAGCCTCATTTTGTGGGTAAACTGAGGCACTGAAAGGCTGAGGCAATATTTTCCACCCCAAGTTCATTAATTTTGGGTGCATAAATAAAGCACCTGGAATTCCAGCTGGTGTCACCTGGGATAACACCAGCTCCATGGGTACCTTCAGAAATTAAATACTCGATGCTTGACAACACAGGATTAAGGGACTCCAGAACAAAATCTGAAGTCACTGAGCTGTGTAAGAGCAACACAAAGCCTCAGTCCCTCATCTCCACATGCAGAAAAAGGAAAATATTTGGCTTCTTGCTCACATTTGTAGTGAAGTCTTGGCTTGTGTGCGGGGTTTTCTGCTTTCAGAGGCATTCTGGAGTCTTTCCCCTCCCCACGCTCCTGGGATGTACTGGGGTAAGTCGCTAACGTCACACTAAGCTCAGTTTGCAGGCAGAGGGATGGAGGCGTGGTGTCCCTGCTCATACTGGGGGCCAGAGTGGGGTGCTGGAGGGCTGGTGGAGCCCTGTGGGCTGTGAGAGCATCCCTGCAGAAGTAATTAAGCTGTTGCAAGGCACTTCAAGGAGGTGTCGTTACAAACCAATGCTCTGCAGAATAGATTTGGGCGCAGATGTGACGGTGAGAAGCAGAGGGGATGCGAGCACAGATGTGGAGCCCCTGTTGCTCCCCCCTCGGGGGGTAAGTGGGTGGCCAGGGGGTATAAACAGCTGCATTGCATGTTTTGGACTGGTTCAGCCTGGGAGCAGCTCCCCGAAAGCAGCAGAACCCCAGGGTGAGCCTTGACGTGGCCGGGTTTTTCTCTGCAGGTCTGGGGAAGGGGTGGGACAGCTGTGGATACTCCAAGAAGTCCCCAGTCACCTCTGGAGACAATAATGGTCACCGTGAAAGGATGGATCCTCCTCCTTGTTCTGGGAGCCACATCCATTTTAGGTGAATAAACATTTCTATTCCCCTCACCGTGCTGTCCCCTGCCCACGGGCATGCCAGCAGACACGGGCCTGATGGTGATGCCAGGTGCTGCCTGGGGTCAGGGCGGCCTTTGCCTGGACAAACCATTTCTAGAGGAGGGCTGGCGCCCATCCAGCCCCCGCACCACGGGCAGAGCCCATCTGTGAGTCAGCCAGCCTCTGGTTGACCAGGGATGAGGCTCCCTCCTCTCCACTGGCTGTGCTGGGACCATCCCTACTTGCCCACCAGCTCCCATCTCAGCTCCCCAAGCAACCCACCCTGGCCAGTGCCTCAACCATCGCCAGAGCACAGAACAACCCCAGGCTCTGAGCTGAGCCCTGGGGAAGCAGTGACGTGGCTCTTCTCCAGGAGAAGATGCTCTGGAGCAGCAGGATCTGTCCACTGCTGGTCTGCAGGTCACACATACCAAAGCGCTGAGCAACCTGTCCCTCTGCTCTGGGGCATCTTGCAGAGAAAACCTGTTGTTTGCAGGCTCTTTGGATTTGCTTTCCGAGGCTATAGAGGAATTTTACTTTGAAGTGCTCTGGCCAGATGCCCAGGGATAAGAACAGGGAGAGTCAATTTGTTGTTGGGGGAGATGCCCAGAAGCCCAGCTGAGCCCCCAGGAGCTGGGCACAGGCAAGAAGCAGTGCTGGGCAGCTTTGGGCTTACCTCCTCATTTTAAATAGAACTGCTCCCAGCAAGCAACCCAGGAACCAGCCACGACCACCAGCTCCCCTCAGGCACATGGGTGGCTAGCAAGGGCAGAAACCAGTCCACGTCCCATAGCAATAACCAACCTCATCCACATTGGGTTCGTTTCTCCCTGCACAGGATAGGTTTTATATCTCCAGCTATAAAAAGATTATTTGATCTGAGCTGCTCCAATGCAGAATGCACAAAAAAAAAGGTTTTTCTTGGGTGATAAGGGAAATGGCAAATTTGCATCATACCTGAGCTGCAGTGATGCTGTGGGACATCTCTATCATGCCCTTCACTCAGCATCTCCGGCACTGCATCCCACAGGAGCTCTAACTGGCGGTTCAAACCAGCCACAACCCAATGGAAAAGCTGAAAAACTGAGCCTAAGGATGCCCACTCCCTTGAATCTAATTTCTTCTCTAATTTATTGACCCTTAGGTCAAAGGCTTCTGAAACCAGGCCTCAGCAGGATCCAGATAGGACAGAAAACCTTCAGCCCACTTGTAATGCTCAGCTTGGAGAGTAAGTAATTTCCCAGCTCAGATGGCTTTCCCTTGCTGAGACAAGGGGTGTTTAGACGTGCATTATTTTTTTCAGCCTTAATTTACAACGAAACAATATTATTTGAGTAGATGACAATATTTAGGCAATGGAATAAATGTTAATCATCCATGACCTGTAGGGTTTTGGCTATTGCTGACACATGTTGTTGGCTCCTCTCCTGGAAAAGCGAAGGTCAAGTGCGTGACCACAGCCCTGACTCCCTGCGGGAGGCACGCACAGGCTGGGAGGGCAAGGAGAGCCCAGGGATGGGCAAGCACATGCTCCGACCTGCCCTTCCCCTGCCCAGCTGGTCCCCACACCTGGGCCAGTTTGTGACACCACTGCTTTAAAATTAAAGCCTTGGGGGGCATTAATTACCCAAAAAGCCCGCTCTGCTAGTTAGTCCCCAGGAAATACCCCAACGCCTCAAGTTTGGGGATTGAAAGCTTGGCTTGAGATTGAAATTCCAGCAGGCACTGAAAGGGCTGGACATGCTGATGGCGTAGTTGAGGGATTAGGGGACTTTCCCAGCCTCCCGTCCTGCTCCCAGCAGCTCTCTTAGCCGCTGAGAAGAATCAAAGCACCGAAAACACAGACACTCAGAGAGAGGTCCCCTCCACCTGCTGAGAGATATTTTTAGGAAAGCTACCAAGAAAATTGCTTTCCCCTCGAAGCAGATGACACAAGGCTGGGGCTTGCGGAGCAGAGGCTAACTCCTGCCTCTCTAGGGAGAAGTAAAGCAAAATCTTGATTTTTTTCACCAATGCAGTTGAAAACTAAAGTATATGCCCTTGGCAGCAGGGAGCTGTAAACTCAGATTTCACCTTCAGGAGAGGGTGTGCCAGACTTGCTTGGGTTGAGCAGCCGGGCTCGGTGCAGCCAGGCCGGTGGAGGGACTGGTGCTCGGCCAGGGAGCAGGCAAACCCTGCCCCAACCACCTTGCACGTCCTCTGCCCACAGGTACGAGGAGCAGCTCTCGCAGGGGAGACCCGACCTTCGCCTACGCCAGACGCAGTATGTTCCTGCTGGCCAGGGCCATGGGGTAGCCCCCAGCCCTCCCCATGTCCCTGCCAGCCCTCGAGCCCCTCTGCTTCTCCCCCATCCTCCACTTTCTGTTTTTTCTACTGTCGATGTGCTGCCCAGAGCCATATAATGCTGGTTTTCTCCACAGGACTGCCCTTCTCCTTTCTTATCACCAACCCTGCAAATTAAAGCAGCCAATCCCAGACTTTGGAGATTCCACTTTAATCTGTTGCATGTTAAACTTCTTCTTGGGGCAAGTACAGACAGACATTTAATCATGTGGCGCCTAGGAAGGGACGTCTCCAAGCTCACCATCTCCTGCATCCCCCATATTGCTAAATCAGGTCTATGGCTGCGCCACTTGGGATGCTGAACTGGAGATGCCGACGTGCCAACAGATTAAAAACTTGCCCATCTAAGCCAAGTGCTTGCTCCAAACCAGACATGACACTCCCTGTAGCTGCTGTCATTTAAATGGTCTTTTCTAGCCACCCACTTTTGTAAGGCAGGGGTTTGTTTTCAACCATCACTGTTGAACAGCCCAGCTGTGTGCCTGTCTGCCTTTCTAGGAAATAACCCGACCTGGTTTATTACAAATCAGGTGGAAGAGTAGGTGTGGGAGATGACACAGCACATGTCTCCAAGAAATTTCATTTTTAGAAACTTTAGTCACAAGTGTATCCTCGTAAACATTATTAGAACATTGTCATTTAAAAATAAATCCAAACCACAGACTCGGGGGGGGGGATCTCATCCATTCCAAGTAGTTTAAATTAATACTGTCTAGTAGCCCAGTTAAAGAAATTCCTTTAAAAATCTAACTGCATATTAGATCCTCAATAAACCCTCTTTGTGTTTTATAAATCAGCTGGCTCCTAATGTGCTCAGCCTGCTCAGCAGCATCTTGGGCTTCTGTTTTGCACACAGTAAAACTGGTGCTCGCAATAGGGGACAAACTCCCCCTGTAGAGAACATATGTTGAAATATGGTTAAAGACTTTCAACATGATCATACCAACAATTTTACTCTTTTAGAGGGATTTTTTTTGTTTTTATTTAACCACATTTGAGACACAGGCGAGCGTGGCCCCTCAGACAGCATTTAAATGACAATGTGTGTTTGATTTCCTTTAAGCCAAAGTTATTCAACACTAAGCATGAGCTGCATGCACTTTGCTCCCCTCAAGTTTATCTTAATCATCCTGAATTCAGTAGCCTGCAGGGAATTAAGCCAAAAGCCTTCAGATGCCTTCTCCTGCTTTATTTCCCAGCTCCCTGAGCACGCTTTGAGTTTGTTTAATCCATGTGGTGCATAATATCCAAATGCATAGTCTGAGCTATATAGAAGCTGCTAAGAAATCAACTGCCAGTTTTCGTGCAGTCGTACGTGTAATGTGCGTCTCAGTAACACACCGCTGATGTTATTCAAGGTCCACTGGTGCAAGATACAAAAAGGTTTTTGTCTCCATGGTCGAAATGGAGCGAGTGCTCAGCAAAGTGCGGCCAAACCGGTGTGCAGAAGCGTACCAGATCCTGCCTAGCTGAGCGCCTCCGGGGCGTGCACTGTAATGAAGCAACTGAGGAAGGGCGGCTCTGCATTGGACATGTTTGCTCAGGTGCTCCTCTAACCTCACATACGGGCAGGGGATCATGTCCTGATCTCACCACCGCGTAGGCATTGTACTCCCTTCACTGTCATTTTACTATCTATCTTTCCCTTGCCAGAATTTCATGAGGCCTTCCCAAGCAGAGCTGGAGAATACTAAGGGAGCAGAGTATGGGGAGTTTATAGCCAAATAGCAAGATAAGGGGGGGATCCAGATATGAGGAATCATCAGGGATCCATAAATATGCTGGGGATATAGAAAAAAAAATCTCATTAATCTTGTTTTAATAGCAGCTCTCAAGGTGGAGTCAGCAATTGCAGGCAGCTGCCTCTGTGCAATCTCCAGGAAGAAGAGTTGGGAATATTGAACTGTCACAGCCCCTGCTGAACGGGCTTGTAATTAATTATGTTATTCTTATAATCCCCTTTTAAACAAATCATTCTGAAAATAGTCTATGTTTTCTCCAGGAAAGTTGTTTCAGGTTTTCCCTGATTTCTTCCATTTATTTCCAGCTATAAAAAAAATTACCAGGTAGCTCTGCACAAGGATGCTCTGTGATTGTAAAAGGAATGACCTGAGCCCTTGCCTTGGGAGGAGACAGATTATTGTTTAGGATTAATCTCTGTAAGTAATGAAAATGTTTCAGAATTACTGTTTGGGAGACCATTCATTAATCCCATCAGGTAATGATCATCTCGCAATTAGCCTATGTCCTGCCCAAGCCAGGATACCACTGAATAAGGGGAGACAGCTTTTAAGACAGACCAAAGTCATGACTTTTGGGCATGAGTTGGTAACAGAAAACTAAAAAGTTTAAGGCATTTGGAATTTTGCAGGGTTGAGCTCACATGCTGATCTGGATTCAAATTTCCCAGAAATTCAGCCCTTTGGGGAAGGTAAATAACAGTTCCTTGCTGTAATTATATCCACGTGGCTGCTTGCTACTAATTGTCAGGTTCAAAATGACATCGTCCCTGTGTTTCTAATGTGCAGCTGTTGATAATCAGTAAAAATGTGTTTTGGATACAATTTATTCCTTATACAGTATCTGCCTTATTGCATCTAAATTAAAAGCAGACACAAGACCGTTCCATGAGTATTACAGGGACTCAGGGCTGCTTTCTGACTTGCCTGCCTCTCCTTCAGCCTGCAACATCACCTGCCCCATGGGCCGCGTCAACGCCGACTGCGACGCCTGCATGTGCGAGGATGCAACCCTGCACGGGAAGGTCTCTCTCGAGGATGGGTCACCCGCTGCCGATGCCCGGGTCTACCTGCAAGCCAAGAATCTCAAGCTGTTGACAACAGCTGATAACAGGGGCATGTTTAGGATCCCAGGGGTTTGTCCCGATGGCAAAAACACTCTTAAAATAAAGAAAGCCAAATATGCAACAGCGACTGTCACTGTGCCTGAGAGCAACAGAAGAAACCTGGCGATCCAAGTGCAGCTGCAACGATCAGGTAGCCCCAAAGAGGGGGGGAATGTAAGAGACTTTACATAGTAATCAGAAATAAATGGTGATTTTAGGGGGAAAAGAGTAACATGATGGCCTTCTCCTCCTCCCACAGGCAAACCCTACATTTTCAGGAGCCCTGAGGACAAAGCCAGGAGAGTGGGACAGAGTGTGTCATTCTGCTGTGATGCCCTTGGGAGCCCAGCCCCTGACCGATACCTATGGTAAGGAACTTAAGTTTGATCTGACAGAAGTCTTACCTGTCCCTCAAATTCAATTTTTATCTCCTTACCATCTCCATAAAGGTGTTTTTTTAGCTATAAATGAGCTAGATACACTGGTTTCCTCAAGATGTGCAGAGCTGGCATGTCTTGTCGGGTGCAGTAATGTCATCTGCAGAGGGGCTTACTGGGAAAAACAGAAGTTTGAAAAACCTCGTCAGGCACAACTGGCAGCTCTGCCTGCCTGCTAGTCACCCAGAAGCCACATCTCAGTACTGCCAGGGGAAGGGGAGTAACTTTTAGGCAATGGCACCTAGCCAGACTACAAAGGGGGAAACAGGCAAGAAGTCTGGCAAAATCCGCATGGCAGGATGCAGGATTGCTCTGCTCCAGCTAGGCAGTCAGCCTCTGTCCCCTTAACTGGCTGCCTGTTCCTGGCAGGTACCACAATGGCTCATTGCTGGATCCTTCCTTATACAAATATAAAAACAACCTGATTCTGAAGAACCTGAAGAGAGACCAGTCTGGAGAGTATTTCTGCAAGGCCAGCAGTGCTGGGGGGTCAGCAAAGTCCCAGTCAGCCAAGCTTGCTGTCATAGGTAAGAGAAAATGTGCACAACGATCTCCAAGCAGCTGGGGAGGTGGTGGCGAGCAGAAACCAGAAACTGTGATACATGTGGGAAAGAAAAGTCACAGGAAAAATATTTGAGGTTTATTTCATGCATCCGTTAGCAGATAAGCTCATGTGAGCTGGTTATGAACCAGATGCTCTATACGAACTGGAGCTCTGGATTGCAGGTGACCTGCCAAGCTCAATCTGCTGGTTTCAGCAGATTTCTCACTGTACTTGCTGTCTGACATGTGAATATTTGTTTGTTTAGGGTGTTGGGGTTTTTTTTTAAACTTCAGGACACATTTTTGTCTGTCCATAGCCATAAAGCCAGGCAGATGCAGAACATCTAGCTGAGGGTGAGTTGGATGGCAGTGGTGGGTAAGCAGGAGCTGGGATGCTCCTCAAAATGGAACTGCTCTTAATCAGGTACCTCAAGTTAAAGCTGAGCACCTGTTTCACGAAACAGAGGCCAGATGAATTCAGCTAACCAAAATTCTGGTTTGTGGCTGTGAAAACCTCAGTTCCTGGAAGCAATGTTTAGCTCTGAGTTTTTCAGACCACATACCTATGAGTGTACAATTATTTTATGCTTCTCATTAAGAAATCCTATTTAACAGGAAGACAAGAGGCAGCCTGCAACTCCCAACCCCAAAGCCACCTCATCCGACTTCCTCACGACTGCTTCCAAAAAGAGACGAACTCCTTCTACTACGACGTGGGCAAGTGCCCAGCAAAGACCTGCACTGGGAAGCTGGATAAGGGACTCCGGTGTAGGGACAACGTTGCCTACTGCTGCGGGGTGTCCAAGATGGAAACCAGAGACATCTCCTGCAATGGCTACATGCTCCCCACTAAAGTTGTTGTAGAATGTGGCTGCAAAAAGTGCACCGAGACCAAAATAACGGTTCGAGGCAGAGCCACAGCAGCAGATAATGGTGAGCCACTGAGGTTTGGCCACATCTACATGGGGAACAAGAGAGTGAGTATGACTGGCTACAAGGGAACCTTCTCCATCCATGTGCCAGCAGACACAGAAAGACTAGTTCTAACTTTCGTCGATCGGCTGCAGAAGTTTGTGAACACAACAAAAGTTCTGCCCTTCAAGGAAAATGGAGGTGCTGTGTTTCATGAGATCAAGCTACTAAGAAAGAAAGCCCCTGTTACACTGGAATCCACTGAAACCAATGTGATTTCTTTGGGAGAAATGGAAGAAGATGATCCAATTGCTGAATTAGAAATTCCTCCCAATGCATTTTATAGGAAAAATGGAGAATCCTACAGAGGCAAAGTGAAAGCCAGCGTGACATTTCTGGACCCAAGAAACATCTCAACGGCCGCTGTGACACAAAGTGACCTGAACTTTGTAGATGAGGAAGGAGATGTGTTTCCACTCCGCACATATGGCATGTTTTCTGTGGACTTCACTGACGAACAGGGCACCGAGTCTCTTAATGCAGAAGAGGTGAAGGTTCATTTGGATGCTGCTCAGGTCAAGATGCCAGAGCACCTGCAAGAGATGAAGCTTTGGTCCCTGAACCCAGAGACAGGATTATGGGAGGAAGAAGGGGACTTCAACCTTGAGAAAAATAGACGGCGCAAAAGGGAGGAGAGAACTTTTTTGGTTGGGAACATGGAGATCAAAGAAAGGCGGCTTTTTAACCTGGACGTCCCAGAGAGCAGACGGTGCTATGTCAAAGTCCGAGCCTACAGAAGCGAGAGATTTCTGCCAAGTGAGCAGATCCAAGGGGTTGTGATTTCCATTATAAACATGGAGCCACAACCAGGCTTCTCCTCAAACCCCAGAGCATGGGGCCGTTTCGACAGTGTGGTCACAGGTCCTAACGGCGCCTGTGTGCCTGCTTTCTGTGACGAGCAAAACCCTGAGGCCTATGCAGCTTATATTCTGGCAAGCATGGGGGGTGAAGAGCTCGAAGCTGTCCCCTCTGCTCCAAAACTCAACCCTAATGCTATTGGGGTTCCACAGCCGTATCTCAACAGGCTCAACTACAGGAGAACAGACCATGAGGACTCCAACACTAAGAAAACAGCATTCAGCATTAACATGGCCAAGCCAAGCCCCAATTCTCCAGAAGACAACAATGGCCCTATTTATGCCTACGAAAACCTAAGAGAATGCGAGGAAGCTCCATACAGCGCTGCTCACTTCAGGTTTTACAGGATAGAGGGAGACCGGTACGACTACAACACCGTTCCTTTCAGCGAAGATGACCTCATGAGCTGGACTGATGACTACTTGGCATGGTGGCCCAAGCCCATGGAATTCAGGGCCTGCTACATTAAAGTGAAAATAAACGGACCGCAAGAGGTGAATGTAAGATCTCGTAACATGGGTGGGACGCACCCACGTACCATCGGCAAGCTCTACGGCATCAGGGATGTCCGCAGCATTCGTGACTCTGAGCAGCCGAATGTGTCAGCAGCCTGCCTGGAGTTCAAGTGCAGTGGCATGCTCTTTGATCAAGACCGCGTGGACCGCACGCTGGTGAAAGTGGTCCCACAAGGCAGCTGTCGCCGAGAGAGCGTCAACAGCATGCTCCACGAGTACCTGGTCAACCACCTCCCCATGGCTACAAACAATGACTCCAGCGAGTACACGATGCTGGCTCCTCTTGACCCGCTGGGACACAACTACGGCATTTACACCGTCACTGACCAAGACCCGAGGATCGCCAAGGAAATTGCCCTGGGCAGGTGCTTTGACGGCACGTCTGATGGCACCTCCAGAACCATGAAGAGCAACATTGGTGTCGGGTTGACTTTCACCTGTTCAGAGAAGAGCACAGCAGAGCAAAGCATCTTCCAGTCTCAGAGGAACTCAGGCCAGCAGTCCATACTGGTTCTGCCAGGGGAGAGCCCCGCGTACCGAAGGCAGCCGACAAGCCGCCGAACCACCCAAGGCAGGATCCCAGTGCGAAGTCAACGTTCTCCCACCTACTAGAGCTTTATAGAAGCCTCAGTAAAGTTGCTCACAATCGATTAAATATAATTTGAAAGTAACATCTACCTGTTAATAACCTAATTCAAAGCTGGTAGGTGTCATTATTTTTGAGAATTAAGGTGCACTTTTTTTTTGGCACCAGAAAGGAAAGACATAAGGCAAAACTTGTGGGACAGTAGCGGTAGTGAGTTTGTGTCTTATTAAATGCATCCATAGAAATCTTCTTTCTGCCTGACATTAAACAGCTTCACATGATAGCCTAAAGGGAAGACTAAACACACGATTCAATTAAGTCATGTACATAAAACATTCTGTTCTGCATCTGCAGACTTTGCCAGCCCAAGTACCTGTACAGTAGTTGGTAACATGAAAAGGAATAAACTGATTTCCTCATACTGAATTCAACTGCAAGGTTTTGTACTTGAAATGTAAGTATTTTATTTATTTCTAGCCTCTTTTAGAAAGACTATTCAAGCTAAACTACCGGCAGCTGCATTTCTAAGAACTCACATGCTTGATAGCACAGAGAAGCCATGTGGATTTGTAGGCTCCACATGGATAAAACTACAGTTTTCTCTTGCTTCTTGCATTATTTGACAAGAAAATCCATGCTCTATGATAGGCTAGGTTAATAAAAAAAGTCATTTTGTAACTTTGACAATGCTGTGTTGCTTTTGTGTTTGAAATGTCCAAGTCAATAAAGCACATGTAGAGCTGACCAAAGAATAACCTGCAAAATTTCACATTTCTGTTCACAAACAGGTCACAACTTTATCAGTGTGAGACTGATCCTGGGTATGTGCAAGGGGTTTGGTGGGTAGCTGGTGTTTCCCCAGGGCTTAGCCATGGTGTGCTGTGGTCAGGGAATCTGGCCCCAGCTTGAGATGCGGAGAATCTGCAGCAGCACTGGGAGAAATGAGAGCAGCAGGTCTGGGCGAGGGATGAAGCAAGGAGGCAGTAGCAGGGCTCCCAGCGCGGGACAAGGTCGGGGGAGAAGGGGGACGGGAACCTGTGCTTTAGGGGTGGCAGGAAACCGGGTGCTGTAGAGCCAGGCTGGGAGGTGCAGAGACAGGGAGAAGACAGACTTCCCTCCACATTCAGCAGCAGCGAGCAGGACACTGCTGAGCAAAAGCTGCTCTTAGCTGAAGGTACAGATTGCCATAGAAGGGGTCAGACAGACAGTGATCCATCTCCAAGTGACATATTAAGTTGCCCTATCAAACCCTTACTACTTCTAGAGCAGAATCAAGTACATCACCAGCACAAAAGACATCCTGGGTTTACACCCAAACACTTTTTTGGGGTGCAGGCAAACCAGCAAGCCTCCAACACTGACATTTCCACTGAAAGAGATCACAAGAAGGTGGGCAGTGCTACTGAATGAAAATTGGATTTCAAACACATGCTCAAGCATGGATTTCCCTCTCCTACCCTATCCCCTCCTAAGGGTACAAAGCCAGTTCTAGATCTATGCTGTCCTACCTACAGCCCATCAAGGGCATGACGAATCTGTCAATAGCATTTAGTAAGCTTCAGAACAGGTTCTCATTGTCTGACACGGGGCATCCAGGCACTAAGCACAGAGCTGTGCAGGACCAAATACCTATGCAGCCTGAATTATGCTTAAAAAGGTAAACCCCTCCCTAAATAATCCATGTTTTTATGTGAGTTGACAGTCATCAAAGAGAAGCAGAAAAGGAAGAGCTGTGGAATACTCTGGCACATCATCTTCATACCAATGAATTTAGACTCTGTTTTCTTTTGTGTTTAGTCTGCTGCGAGGGCTTGGCACAAGCTGGGGCCAAGGCAGCCAGTGGGGAGCATTAGCTCGGACCTTCCCACAGAGCTCTTGGCTTGCACTGCAGACTCGCAGAGAAATGTCTCTTCCCTCTGTTCCCCTCCTCCTCTGCAGACAGCCAAATCCCAAACTTGGTTTCATCACTTCAAGGGTGAAGTAACACAAATGACTTCTACAGACCAACCCAGGAGATACATGGATGAAAGCAGGTTTGGGATCTGGTCCCTGTGCTGCATGTGGGCTTGCCAGAGCAAAACGCAGCAGTGTTCAGGGCTCTTCCTTTTGGGAAGAAGTGTTTAACAGGAATGAAATAGTCACAGCCCTACAGCCTGACATTCTGCCTATCCATGAAACAGCCAGAAGCTCTCCAAGTTTCCCCAATCTATCCCCCACTGCAACTTAACTCTGACTTGGAGGAATAAACTAATCTCCACACTCAGCAAGTCCCTGAGCTCTTGGAGGAAGCTGCTGGCAGAGTACATGGAGACAGAGCAAGACAGAGGTTTCAAACACGGGTGCTTAAGCACTATCTCCAGAAAACAACCTTGGCCCAACAACCACCACACAGTACTAACACTTTGTCATTACTGATGAGCCACCGTGCCAAATACATTTAATGTCTATCTAGAAGAAAGTCTACCTAGCAGGTCCTAGCACCCAGCCCTCACACAAGGTTTATGCTATAGTTCAATGTCAGATCTGAACTTCTCCAGCTCCTGAGTGCTTGTGTTCATGGTCAGTGTACTGCAGTGTCTTTTCTGCAACCTGAAACCTAACCCACACTCCCACATACCAAAGGAGAGCATCAGCTGGAGGAATACAGGAAGGCTGCGACTCAGCTACTCCCTCAACCTTAGCCTTCAGACCACCAACCTTGAGAATCAGGCTGAAGCAGGAGACCTGACTCCTAAACGTCATCAGGTTTGAGGCTAATGGCAAGCATCTTCCTTTAAGGTCACTTAGTTTCCAACCCTCAGATAAATCTGGTGACCTATCCTTCCTCCTGTTTTTAAGAAAGGGAAAAAACTTCCCAGAAGCTACCAGGCTGTCAGCAGTTAGGATAAACAGGAGATATTCTTGTCGTTTCAACCTTCAAATTATTCAGGGATTTTGCAATCAACTTTTTTTAAAAAGACTCAAACACTCCTGTGCTTAGTCACTTACACTTTTTGTTTATTTGTAATTTATTCAGCAGAAAACAGGAAAAAAGGTTTCCTAGGAAGCAGGGGGAGTAGTAAGATCATTAAACAGATGCATGTAACTGTGAGTCACCAGCATACTAGAAAATATCACTCTCTAACATTTATTTGAAATTCAAGATTAAATCATCCCTATCTAACACCAGAGCCCTTCTGGTGCCCAAACATTCTACCAGTAATTTGGCTCCAGTGATTTTAAACTGAGCCATAGCGGATGCTGGGTCTATGAATATCCCTCGTACTTTCCCTCTTGTCTGAGAGGTGGACAGCTGTTTTATTTTGCTAGTATCACTTTCCAATTGCTAGGGTGGCTGTACTTGACCTCAGCAGTGATACTGGGGATTGAATCACCATGTCTATGTTCCAGAGTCAACCCTGACATGCTATTCCACACCTCGTCAGTGAATGCCCCGTTTTTGTTTTGCCTGTTCTGCAAAAATAATCAGATTTTCATTACCTACCGAGTTAAATCCCTACAGAGTTAGGTGAAAGCAAAGTTTCCAAAAAGACATTTTGGCTAACAGCTGCTTAGGGAACACCAATTCCCTTTAAAGCTTCTCTACCATGCCAAAAATAGCATGCCAAAGATTTCCTTCATAAAAAAATAAATCTTACCCGTTTTTCTGCCATAAAACAACTGGGATAAAGTTGAGCATATTCAGAGCTAGGACATTAACTAACTGTTAAGCAACAAAGATCTGTCTAATCTTCTATAACCTCTTGCATAGAAAGCAGTTCTGAGAAGCCTTAAAGCAAACTGCACAGAACAAAAGATTAAGTTACAAGTATAGGTATCCTGGCTACAATATGGTTTAGAAATTATTTGGTAAACAATTAACTGAAGACATTCGACATTCTGTACCAGATTTTCACAATCCTCTGTCCAGCTGACCTTGTTTTTTCCCTAAAATAGATGCAGCGAGCACCATCTACAGGGTTTCTGAGCACATGCCATCTCAAACTCCTCCAAAGACGCAGGGAAACTCTTCACTATTGCTTTATGCTTTAGTTAGAACTGAAATTACTGCCTGCCAGCAATGACTAACAGCAACAGATCTCACACAAGGCGAAATCTAAAACTGTCAGCAAGAGATGTACAAATTGCCCCACAGGTCTCTCCAACGCCAACATCTAACATGGACACCGCTGGGTGGAAGTTGATATTCCAACTAGCAACATTATCACCACCCAGCAATAATATTGCTTTGCTCCATTATCATTTTGGAGATGCAAAGGATAGAAACAATTATTCTTTGCTTTCAACTTTATGATGCTAGAGCAGATTCCAAAAAGCAAAGGAGTTAAAGAACTTTGAAAGAATTTTCCTCAAAAGTCATTCCTAGGAACAAAGCAGTTGATTTTACAGTTTGGTCATCTAAAAGCTTTTGACCTTAAATTGCCTGAACTTTTGATATTGTTTCTGTGGGAGTCACATCTCCCTGCTCATTTTGATCAGGTTATAATTAATTTTCCAGTGCCTGGGGACCTAGTACATGAGAAAAGTTGGGTCCACCCATGCTAACAGGTACCTCAAATACTTCACTTCTCAGAAGACCAAAATTCTTTATCATTTGTTCTTAAAAGTTATCTATAAATTGTGGTGGGTGGGGTTTTTTTGTATACTCATTTCTCTCTAATTCAATTTTTGATACAATCCATGCCTGATGCCAGACCCCTACCATGCAGCTGATTAGTGTCAAGAACCTCACTGTCTATGAGGAAGGGACTTCAGAGAAAATGATCTTATCCTGAACAAACATTGAATATTTGGATTCCAATGATGCCTACAAGTGCTCTTTAAAAATAACAGATTAAAAATTCCCTAGAAGCTCCATCAGGGAAAACAAGGCAAGCAGCCATACAGTTGACACCAGTGAAGTAATAAAACCCAAAAAAACCCCAAACCCATCCACCATCAAAAACCCCACCCATGCACCATCCCTTCTATTGGCATGAGGTGATAACTAACCTGTCATAGAGTGATCGGAACACAGTAAAAGCAAAATGACTTCACAACCTTTACTTGCAAGTAGTAGGTGGGAGCAAAACACAAAACTACATCATTTGCTTGGAAACAAACTTGCCAGTTTTGTAACTTCTGCAGCACAAACTGCACCCTCAAGTCTGCAGTCAGAGACAAAAGGAATTCTCCAAAGGAGCCTGACTTCCACCTTGGTGTTGTTTCCAGTCTTTGACTCTGATTCATAGGCTTGGATTTCCTGGAGGATCATGTGTTCTAGAAAACCTGTCAGAAGCAGATTAATTGTTGGACCAATGGCAATTAAAGAAAAATATTGCAGCATCTGCTTTAACAGATGCTTCTTCAGAAACACTTCAATCCATGTGATACAACACATCTTTCTATATATTTTTTGCCTTCCTTCATTCAGCAAGTCACACTCAAGCACATAAAGTTCCTGCCACTTTAAGTCCCATGAATTCAACACTTGACTTGAGCTTTAAGTTAAAGACATGACTGCTTGAAAAAACATGAATGTCTTGAAAAGTGAAGAGCTAAAAGTCGGTGTGGAAAAGGATGTGCTGGTATTTATTGATGAGCATGAGGAAGACAGAACCATTGTAACACCAAGCCTACAGAACTCCTGCAGGTTTTTTTTGAGGCTTCCACAATTTCCATGATAATGCTATAAATATGAAGCTAACAGAACAGTGCCTCCCGGATTCTGAATAGCACCAGTAGCTCTGTTTTTACTTCAGCAGTATTCAGAAAAAGCACAAATAAATTGAGCAAAACACTAGAGCAGCTCCTAGAATGCAACCAGTCTTTGTTTTGCTATTATCCCCACATTACATACAAGAAAGTAAGTCATCAGTTTTGGGGTTCTTCACATAAAACTCTCCTTATACATGCCATTAACCAAAGGTAGGTTGAGGAAAAACTTGGATTAGATTAACAACTCATCAGGTAAAAACCTCTCTCATCGGAGAGGAAGTATGACACCAGAACATAAGTTTCCTGCAGAGATGGCAGATAAATATTAAGTAAAATATATCCTAGGATATGAAAACAAAAAGGAGAAGGAAGAGATGGTAATCAATATGATTAAATAGGAAAGAAATCAGAAAAGCTAAAGATACCAAAGAAAAATACCTCCTGAACAAGGTGAGTTACAAATTCATAGATTAGAAACAGTTTATAAAACAGAATCAGTGAGATTTAAAGTCATTTGTATTGAAAAGCAAATACACACGGTAAATTCTTCTTTTCTGAATTTAGAAGGAAGCAAAATGTGTTCACATCACATGCAGGTGACTAAAATCAATCAGCTGGCATTCATGGATGACATTAAACAGTACTTACTACTACAGCATTTTCAGAGTCAACAGGTCCAAACAAAAAACATGACAGTCCTAAGAGAACTGGATGAGATCTCAAATTAGAATGGATTAGGAATACTCTGTTTATTTCCTTTCTAAATCAAAGATTTATTTAAACTGAATTCCAGCACACTGAAAGTAGACACCTGCAGACTGAGACTACTTAAAGAGAATAAGCAGGAAGGCACAGGTAATTAAGCAGCTGGCAATGATTGCACAGGTTGATCAGATGCAATATGAGTGCTCAGAAAACCACACCTAACAAACCACCCCAACAAAAGCGTATGACCAACTGTGGCAGCAAATTCCAGAGAGAAATAAGGGATGCTCTGTGTTGCTGACAAAGAGAACTATCACAGACAGGAAAAAGTTTCTCTAGATGTTCCCAAGTAAGGCGTAAGTTATTCATCTCAACAGGGGGATATGAAGGTAGTTTAAAGGTCCACAATAAAAATCAGACCAGACAACCTAAGAGTCTCAATGAACACTAAACTCTGAACTGCAAAGAAGCATGGATTTTTAGTATTTCCAGATAAAAGTAACTGTGAACAATTTATGCTTGAAAAAATTATACCCAAGTCCTCAGAAAGAAATTGAAAGCATAAAAATGTATAAAAAATAAATTTATTAACAGCAGGAACAGGGATTTATTCACTATCTTCAGCATTCAGAGAGATTCTTTTCCTTGATGGGGGAAAGAGAAATGAATATCAGGAACCCACGATGAAAATGCGCAGATGACAGTAAGTGCAAACACTCTAAGGGGAAACCCCTTAACTAAGTGGAATGTTACAGGTGGGCATTGAAATATTTTATATTACTATTAACTTACAGACATCTTCTTTCATATTTTGAAACACATCTATTGTTTTATATCCTGTGTCAGCATTTCCCTCTCTTTCAGAGTCTTTTTTTTCGTGCTAAGTTTGAGTGTTTGAAATCTGCATTCCTGATGAACTGGTCTTGAGTTCTGCTGGAAGCAAGAGTGCATATATCCATTGTAGAAGTCAACTGCTGTAAGCTGCTTCTTTAATATGACTGTTTTGATTCCAACCCAGCCTTCCTAAAAATAAAACCAAAAAATGGTGGTAAGCTTCTTCCATGTTTTAAAATTATCTTTAGCTCTCAGTAGGTTGACTTACAGAAGACATTTTATTTAATGTCACCATGTTTACATTACAAGTCAAGTTCTCACTTACAAATGAAAAGCCTGTTAGTGGACATTAAAAGTTCTTCAAGGTATCAAACAAAAAGACTGATGCTAATCTAAACAGTGAGTAATGATGGACAATTAAGACAAAATTTATGCAACACAAATACTAAAAACCTCATCTTTAAGGCAGCAAATATAAAACAAATGGGAAAAACCTACCTTGCAACGAGCTATCAGTGTCTGGGACACTTTATGGTATAGTAGAGAACCAGGAACAGTTCCACAGCCATTTAATATTTGATCTAAAATCAAAGCAAGATTGTTGGCATAAAAATGCTAGATAAGTACAAAAAAGTTTGGAACACTTATGTCTCTTTGAAGCATGATAATCATCTTGAGTTGCTATTTTGCTCAAAAAGTATTTTATTGTATTCTGTTTTGTTATACCCAAATGAGCAGGGGAGAATGAGGCACTGCTCCCTACCTGACCCATGAAGCCCTCTGGCACACCACGCAGCCCACAGGACTCTCAGACTCATAGGCTACTACAAAAAATAGTTTAAGCAATAGTACACAGGGACACCTTCCCTCGTGAGAGGTCCACACACAATGGCATTAGACAAGGATCTCCTAATTAAAGGATTAAAATCCTTCTATCTCAGGATTCACAGGACTATACCTGCTGCTCACTCAACAGCATTACAATGCAGGAATGACCTTAAAACCCATTTTATGCTCATCTTTGGGCAGAGAAACTTACTGTGCTCTGAGCATATATGAGACTGACTTAGTTCTACAGGAGTTCCAGAAAGCAGTAGTTAAAGTGATTGTTTAGTACAATTGTGTATGATCTCCAAGTCAGTGTTTGAAGAGACAGGAAAATTTAACAGATTAACTTAAAAGTAAATACCAGCAAAACCAGGGATATTATCCACTTCCTCAAAATCCTGAAGCTTAACAGTAGTGCCCTGCCAGAGCGTCTGCAAAGGAAACTGGAAACAGAAGCAGATGACACATTGAGAATAATTTTCATCATTTCCAGTCTATTTTTTTTTTCTTATGCAAGATACCTGTGATAATAACATTAAGGGAAACATTTAGGTATATGTCCAAGTAAGATATTTTTCTTGTAATATCTGATTTTCTTTGTTCTTCCTCATCTCATCCACAAGCAAACCATTAGCAGATGCAAAATGAGTTAAGCAAGTAGCTACAACAGCTGTTTCCTGTAGCAGTTTGCACTGTTTACTGCCATGCAAAGATGTCACTACAGTGTTCTGAAACCCTCTCAAATCCAGCAGTGGAAATCTCAGAGCTAAAGGAACAATACAAAATTATTGAGCTGATTTCACACTTGGGATCAAGTTCATGAAAATTCTCCTCCACACTAATTCCACCTCTAATGCTGAACTGTGCTGGGATTTTTAAAACACATGCTAGGATTTAGAGGCTAAAATAACTAAACATGAGTTTTAGTCATTAGTTAAAATATCTACAGGAATGTCAAGACACGTTAGAGGACAGAAAAGGGTTAAAAAAAATCCACTGTCTTACCATACTTCCTATTGCACGATGCAGTTGAATTATTTGGGCAGCCGTTTGCTCCTCCCACTTTATACAACTCTTAGCTATAGATATTTTAGGAGCTAGGGCGAAAAAATGAAATTAGAAGACTTCATATTTTGTTTTGCATCTTTCTGCAAACAAATAGCTGTACTACTTTATTCTGTTTTAAACCCAGGTTTATCCTGACCAATGGCAGCTCTACCATCTAGCCATAGGTACCTTCAACAACAACTGGAGAAAAGATTTTGTAAAAACCTCAATTTGGATTATTTATACTTTCTTCTCAGTTGTTCTCTAATTTACCCACTGCACTGCAAACTGGTAACATGTATTTACAAGCACAGCTATAACACTTTTGTGTGCGTTACAGCCACAAAGAATAACAAACTCATTCAGATTTTGTGACACCACTAGTCATTCTGATATTGTACACGCAACTGGAAAAAAAACATTAATGTAATAAGTCTGAAGAATTCTGCAGTATTTTTCCCTCTGTATGACTTCAAGCCAGAAGAGGCAGTGAAGAGACCATACTAAGAAAGGTATATAAAAGAATACAACACAGCACAGTAGGAAGAAACCTAGTTTTTCAGCTGGTAAAAGAAAAAATTAACAAGTTGCATTAAATATGGTGCGTACCTACCAAATGTTACTCCTTCTTTTGGTTGCTCTTTTTTATTTTTTAAACTTTCAGGCAAGTTTTTCAAAACTGATATCAGCTGCAAAATTAATTTTTGTAGAGTATTAGCAAAGCTAAGTAGAGCATATTTATTAATAGTAAATCCAACACATACAAATACAGTACTTAATTTTTCGTCAGTAAAACTTTCTTGTGAGCTTTTGGAAAGCTGGGTCAGTATATTCAGAATACTTGTATCATACACACAAACACACTAAAGGCATCCTTCCCACCAAATCACAATTTAAAACCCACAAGTATATTTTATGGATGATCTCCTCTCTGATATTAATCCTAGAACAGGACAAAAGCTGCTAATATTAAGATGAAAAAGAAGATATTCACTTCAATGAAAGCAGAAACTGGTTTCCATACAAAGCACTCGAGTTCTTCATTAAAACAGCGATGCACAGTACCAACACTGACAGCTTATCACACACCACTCAGCTTTCCTCTCAGCAAGGCAAAGTGCTGATAGTTTCAGATCATTCTCTTCTTAACAGTTGTAGTCAACTCAGAACATGATTAAAGAGAATTCTGTTTACACATGTTAAAAGCAAGGAACTAATCAGAAGCAACACTAGCTTGCATGACTTTACCATGTTTGCACCCATCTTGGATAACATCACTTCCAGCTCCTTTGCAGTACAACGCGGGGGAACAGCAAACTCTTCTTGCTTAATAATTGGACCTACATCAAACCTATAAAGCAGAAAACACACAAGCTTACTGGAAGAGAAGCTATAACTCAATTAGCAGTTCAAAAGTCTACATTCAATAAACTCAGTTACTAATTATCCCTTTTTTCCTCTAAAACTTTACTTTTCACACATTATCAAGCAATATTTGGTTCACAAGACAACACAGGGAAAAGAATATCAGATAAATCTTGGCAAGCAAGATTCACCTCCGCAAGCTGAGATGGTTATGAATACACAATTCACAGGTCAGAAGCATAAGAGCTCAGAAGAAACAACCTGAAATATTCGGAAGAAATTTGTTTTGCACTTTCCTGAGATCTATTATCAGACAAGCATCTAAGAAAGAAAAGACAACTATGATAATGTGTTTTTACAAGCCTTTTAAGCCAGAGTTTGTGCTGAAACTAAAATGTAAACTATCTCTCAGCCCTAGACAGGCAATGGCTTGTCCTGTTTCATTTACAGGAGGTTACAAGCAACTCTGAAAACCAGATGTTTTCTGTTCTGTTATACCAAGCCTATGCATCTAGCTGTGTGACCATTCTCTGCCTGCTCCCTGTAATAATTAGAAATAGAGAACAAGCCTAGAGGCTACAGTGCAAACTACACACTTGCTAAAATACTGCATTTGTGGCAAGTCTCATATAGTCAGATGAAAGCTTCTAAGCATTTCAAATTTTAATATTAAACATACACAATCACTTAAAAAAAAAATTTAAAAAGTGATTACATAAAATGATTTAAATGATGACTTACATGGTGATGCTTTAAAGTCCTGAGAGGCAACAGAAGCAGTAAGCTGTCTTGGGAAGCACATTGAACCTACCTTTTTGGTCTTATTTCCATAATTGTCACCCCAGTCACTTTATCACCATGAAGTAGGGTGTGGATTATCGGTGCAGGACCACGCCATCGTGGGAGACAGCTGGGATGGACATTCAGCACGCCACTGAATTGAAATATTTTACAGTTAGAATAGGAACAGTACCTGAAGCTGAACCCATATGTAAATGGATGTGCAATACTTATTACACTAAAACTACTTTAAGAATTAACTCCTCAGACTTTCTGAAGTGTTACTAGTTTAAATATATATTTAAAGGAAAATTCACATTATATAACCTTCAGTTTCTCAGTGAACACAGAAAAA